GTCAGATCACAATTATCAGCAGGCGACTGCAGTCTGATTTGTTTCTTTGTTACTAAAGATTAAAGTAATAATAATTTGACCATGCTTCCATCAATTTAAAATGCTCTGCTAGATAAATATTTTTAAGATCTGTACAACAGGCCTTCTATTTAACAATGAATACATTTCAGACTAATGTGCTGCCAAGCTCCAGCTCTCTTTCTAGCAGCTGAATTCTTGGATAAAATCATTTTGCAGGGTATGAGCAATGCAGTTCTGAAAATAGCATCACTGCAAAATGAAAGATGGCAAGAACCTCTACAATGCTTATTTATTTCAGTGAAATTTCATCTCTTATGATCAGTATCTACTTTGAAATTCTAAGCTGAATTTTCACACTTAATAAAATGTAAATCTATAGGTTTTGCTAATTTTGAAGCCCCGGCATAAATTTCTGAGAAGGAAATAAGAAAAAAATATCACATTCACAATTTACATGATAAACTATGCGAAACAGAAAAATGCTTTGTGGAACCACAAATTTGAGTTTATCACCACCACACGTACAGAGACACGAAAAGAAACCAACACCAATCAACAAGCTGCTTCACACTTATCTTTAAGTATGTTTCTACTAGAAGAATGGATTGGAGAGATGCTTTTTAAAATACCGGTGGGTTTACTGATCTTGCATAAAGCTCAGCATCCAGACATGTGCTGCTGAGAAAACACTAAGAGGTGATACTGCACTTCCCTGATTCTAAGTAAATTACATCTTTGGCTTTCTTTCCAATTCATATGGAGATGATAGACTTCTGATATTATTTTTTTTTCCTAATACTGATTTCTAAATATATTTATTTAATTTAAATACAATTTTCAAATTAACATCATTTTCTAATGAACATCCACACTAAAATTGGCATTTTTCTTTCACAGACTTTGTGCTAAAAATGAGATTGCATGTACATGTGTCAAAATCCCCAAGTCTAACAATAGAAATAGATGAACAGAACACATCATACGTATCCCCCATCTATATTTGGTCACTGAATCTATATAGAGTGATATTGTGTACCAAACCCAGCTACTTCTCAGCAAGATCTACACTTGTTCATTCCATGTGCGGAAACCAAAAATACGAATGTCCCAGTTGTGCAAGCTCTAATTCACATGACTCATACAGACTTCCCTGAGCTGTCCTAATGACACCAAAACAGTAAGAATGATTCATGCAAATGAAAAATGAGAATACACAGCGTCTCCTCTAAAAATTTCCTGCCTGCATACATATATATATATGTTTTTATATGTATATTATTTTTATCTTTTGTATATTATTTTTATCTGCAGACATTTTACACCATTTATTTTAGTAACAGATCTGGCTTGAATATAATGTATAGTTTAATATTTACATACAGAACAGGTGACTGAGGGGGAAAAAAAAAGGACAAAAGGATAGAAGAGTGGGGGAGGGAAATTAGAGAAAAGAAAAAAAGACATTAAGCTATATCCAGAATGATGCAATTACAGCAACAGTCCCACTGGTATTGAAAGGCTTCATCTGTAGGTTTATCCAAATTAAAATATGTGCTTTGCTTTGTTGTTTGCTGCTTCTTTTTTCATCAGCACACACATGTTTATCATCAGAAAGCAGCAGATGTATCTTTATATCATATATTGCTATCAGTAAAAATCATAACTAGCAAGACATACTGTGTCAAAATCATACTTTAGAATTACAACATATTTTTAAACTCAAGACTACCTGTTTGATGCAGTATAGATAAAAGAATAGAAATAAAGTGAGTTCCGTGCAACCTTTATCACAAAACAAACTGCATTTACTGAATAGTATCTTTTTTCCTCAAGCCTGTGTAGATGTAAATAATAAAGACATATATGGCTACAGAGAAGGAAGCGCTTAGTGTACTGTGTTAGCAGTAGTGTGGTTATAGTGACAGGAGTACTATATACAATATTCTCATATAAGTGCAAAATATCTACTGTGCTGCATATATAATTGAAGTCCTTGGAGTTGCTACATTAAAAGTAAGAGCATGATATCCTGTACCAACATATAATACGTCCCTAATACATGATACAATGAAAATGATATGCTTTAATGAAACCAAATATGTACCAACTGGTAGCTAAGCCTCATAGCTAAAGATCAAAACATAATTACTGCTATACTTAATAGTTCATTTAAAAAAAAAAAAAAGCCTTCAATATTTGCAGTGAAATACTCCAACACAGGAAGCAACAAATGCAATTATGCCACCTGCTCAGATTCACAATGAAAAATTAAGGCTCCCATTTCATCCAGCACAACCCTTCCCTTTAAATTCTCTTGGGTTCCTGGGTAAATATATCAGAGCCTTTTTGCCTTGTCAGAGAAGGAAAATTAATCAAGTGACTGGGATTCTATCAAACAGGCATTGCTTAAACTTTCATCATTTTTTTTCTGCTAAGAATGTTTCATACTTGCATACTACTGATGATCAGGACTTCTGAATGCTTTAGTAAAAGCACATGTTAAACTATATATGGATGCAGAAGGAACAGATGACTGAAGGGAAAGAGACTGTATAATAATGAGCTGTTAATGAAATCATGAACTATACAGTCCAGATTACGCACATTGTTCAGACAACAGCTGGGAAATGCTGCTTCCTCAGACCAACTTTTTAGCTAATAGGAAAGGAGACTGAAAATAATGGAGAGAGAGCAGGTAGCTATGAACATAATAACAGCAAACCTTTGGTTTTTTAATTATTAATGTCCCTTTTTTCCTTTATATTCTTCTCCTGTGTTTTTTCCTATTTTTAATATCCATAAAATATTAAATCTTTCATATTAATGGCATTTGCGTCACTTCTTGTTCTTCCCCATTTGTAATCTACAGTGGGAAAAACACCGCTGTCAAGTCTTAATAAAGAAACCCAAAATGTTTTCCCTTTCACCTGTTACATCACTACTGTTTGCAGAGCAGCTCTCCCTGCATCAACCTGTTGTGCTGTCTTCTAAATGAACTAAAGCATCTTTGCTCTTTGATTTAATTTCAAAGGGGAAACATTACTGTGAAGGATGCACAGGTGCTATAGATTGTTTCTACAGTGTTTCAATGGGATAATGAGAAAAAAGAAAGCCAACAGCAAGTGAATTGTGTAGAACATGGAAATGCTGCGGACTAATATCATATTCTGAATTACTTAATCATAGGTATAGTTATAATTAAAGTTATATATTTCCCTGTTGACAATTTCTGTTATCATGACTGGCAGTGAAGGTAAATTCTGAACGAAATCAGCAAACATAGAGAGGAGGACAAAAACAATTTTAAAGAAATATCACATAATGTTATGTTAAAAAGTGATCTAGATTTCTATCTGAAATGATACAATACCCTTTTTATACAGTATTCTTTTAATCTCACTAGGTTCCCTATGTCTTTCTCCTTCAAAACTAGAAAAATCTATTTAGAAGATAATTTTTAATTACTTGTGTACGATAACTTATCAGCTCATTAAGAAACAGTAAATAGAGGAGCTCGAACACAAGAAGAGCACTGACTTACACATTTTGCCACTCTTGGTTCTATGTGACACATCTTTATAGAGTATTTTAAAAGACAGTTTTCCCTCCAATGAAAGGCTATATTTATTTAACTTAGAAGACATTAAGTGGTTATTTTATACTAATCTTTGTATTCCTTTCTTTCACCTAACAGTGCGAGTATCCCTTTGAGTCTCTCATAATGGCACCGATACTCAGAACTGAATCCAATTATAACAACCTACCAGCAGTACTAATTGGTGAAAATGCATTGCTGGTAATTGCTGTAAACTCATCCTTCTGCACCGCGTGAACGAGGGCAATAAATTCTACCCAGCGTTAAACAATAGGGAAGGCTACCATTAGCACTGTTTTTCTTATGTAAAATGCATTAAAGTGAGACACCCACTTAAAAGTTACCTAGTGGTGGCTTTAACCCGGATTCAGGGACTAAGGTAAGTGCTTCCAAACAACAAAAAATAATATAAAAATAATAAGGTAAAAAAGAAAAGGGAAGGAAACCCTATCCACAGTGTTTTGCTGTGGATCTTTTTTCCCCCCGATCTGTAGGCGAATCTCCAGTATGATGGAAGCTTTTTCCTGACTTTCTCTTTTTGCACGCTTTCATTATGTGATCTGGAAAGCACTTCCATTCTGCTAAGCATGCAGTGGTTTAAAGATCTCTATCTCACGGCCATGCAAAACACAAAGCAGCTCGCACCGAAAGCATCCCTCAGCTCCCGTAACGGCGGGTTTTGAGAAGTAACGATTTGCAAGGCCAGCCCTCAGGAAAGCGGTTCTTCTGCCGTGTTGCTTTAAGGATGCTGAACCTCTTCGGTGTGGCACAGGCGTGGGCACCATCCCGCACCCCCCACAGCCCCGGGCACAAAACATACCCCGCGGCTGCCAACACCCTCCCGGGTGCGCTGGACCGCGGCCAGGCATGGGGGAGCCGAGGCACCGGCTCTCAACTCCGAGCCTTCACCTCTGCCTGATTCACAAGCCAGAAAACCTGCTTTTTGAGCGGATTTTCATATAATCTTGAAAGTTTCAGATTTTAAATATTTTTTCAATAGTGCCAGAACTCCAGCCAGGCTGAAATAACCGTTGTGGGAGGAGGGGGCGGGCTCTGTGTAACTCGAAACTTTCCTCTCAGCGCGGCAGAGCTGCCGGCTGTATTTAGCACCGGGATGTGCTCGGGTTCGGGGCTCCAAGGCGAAGCCTTCATGTCACAAGTCCCACCGTCGGCTGTGACCGGGGCACGCTCCCCTCCTCCCGGCACCCCCAACTACCGTGACTCTTCCCCGACTGAAAACAGCCGAAATCCTGCAGTTCTGCCTCACCGCCCAGACTGACTTTATTTATTTCCCTTTGTATTGTGGCCGGGGCCGCGCTCCTCTCGGCGCAGCCCCGGCCCTGCCTCCCGCCAGTACCCCCGTCCTGCACCCCTTGGGACTTACGTGGTGGCAGAGGGGAAAGGTCCCTCCGAAGAGTGGTTCATCACCAAGGACTGGAAAAGTGTCAGGCTAAAAACCAGCAGCCAGCCAGCAGCCATCTTCCTGATCGAAGATCGATCCCCCTTCCCCAAAGTCGGCGAGACGGCAATAAGAATAAATTCAATTATCGTGTGTGGTGTGGTGGTGGCGGGTGGGGGGGGGGCTGTTGTTTTTTAAAGCCTCCTCCGCTCCCCCCACCCGCCCCCTTCGCAGGAGGCGCAGCCCAGAGATGTGTGGAGAAGCGGGATCACGGCCGAGGGTGGGAAGGAGGAGGAGAAACGATGGAGATCTGTGGGTGGAGAGGGGAAGAAGAGAGAGACGGAGAGATACTCTACTCTCTGCTACTCCAGCAGCAGCTCCAGCTTCATCTAATCCGCCGCCATCAGCGCTACTTTTGTAACAGATCCCCGCTCACTCTGTGTGCATGTGTGTCCTTCCCTGATTTATTCCCCTGATTGCAGAGCAGGAGGAGGAGGAGAGAGAGGCAAAGCGGGGTGGGGGCTCCTGAAAGAAGAGGAAAGAAGGAGAGAGTTGGAGACGGGCAGATCTGCTCCCGGGTCCTTCTTTCCCTGCCGGCAGCTGCGGAGCGTCGGGGCGGGGAGCAGGGGAGGGCGCCGGGCGCTGTCGCTGCCGCGCTCCTTACAAGGCAGCCGAGGAACTCCCGGGCCGGGCAGGGCCCCCGCGGGAGCCGCGCCCGCCCTGCTCCGCCCGCCGCGGGCTGCGTGCCTCACCTCCCGCCGCCCGGACGCTATTTTTAAACCCGCTTCGTGCCTTGTTTTAATTCTTCGCCCTCCCTCCTCCTCCTCCCATTTAAGCACAGCCTCACACAGCCCGTGTGCCACCAGCCGGGGCTGCGCTTTCAAACACATGCATAGATAGATATAGCTCGTTCGCCGCTGACTGTAGCAGCGCTCCCCAGCGCGCAGGGGCGAGCCCGGCGCGGAGCCGCCCCGCGGACCAGAGCTGTCCTTCGCCGCGTCCCGTTCCCGGCGCCGCTCGTGGTAAGCGGGTCCCTGCGGCCACGGCGGGGAGTCCGCAGGCTTCACCCCGGCCCAGCCGCTCCTCTTAACATAGACAGTAATTTCAGGTTCCCCTGAGAGGACAAATTCCGTCTCGTCCGTTACTTTACCCGTGTTCACCAGTCTCTGTGGCAACTATAATGGGGAAAGTAATCCCGGGAAAGATCTCTTAGCTTATTCACTAAAGCAGTCAAAAGTTCAGTGACAATTCTGTGTTTCTTAGATATAGTATAAATGGGTTGCTATTTTCGTTTGGCTTGCTTTCTTTTCATATGCTTGTACATTTTTATTTATTTAATTACATATAATTATGTAATTATAATGATATTCTAATATATTTAATTAGTCCAACAGGTGAAAATGAAAAAGCTGACCCAGTATTCCTGGTTTTTCACATCCTTTGTATTTAAGGATCACATCATCTTGAATACATTAACTCGCAACAATTTCTATAAACCAAAAAAGTGCTCATCTCTATTTTAAAGGTGGCAAAAGGACCAAAGCTGATATCCACAAATGAACAATGGAGTGTTCACATTGCTCCGGCTCAAAGCCAGCGTGATATTTCAGTTGCAATCTGTACAGCATGCAGTCACTCATCTACATTGTTTCTGGATTGGAGCTGGCAGTTTGGAGCTAGTGGGAAGAGCTCCCAGTTGTCTTCACCTATCCACCTACCTATAGGTATGTAGGATTAAGGGTTTGAATGCAAGTCCAAAATAGCAATTTCTAAAATGATACTGCTGCCTGCAAAATCAAACAGGCTGAAGGCTATCCACAGCCCCGCTTTTGTAGGTCTTCATAGGCTTTATGGTTTGGCCACAGCAAGTGCAACACTTCAGGTACTAAGACAACCATATCTTGGGCTGCATCCAAAGGAGCATCGCCAGCACCTCCAAGAAGGTGATTCTCCCCCTCTACTCTGCTCTCATGAGACCCACCTGGAGTACTGCATCCAGCTCTGGGGTCCTCAGCACAGGGAAGACATGGACCTGTTGGAGACGGGCCAGAGGAGGGCCACAAGAATTATCAGAGGGGGGATGGAGTTCCTCTCCTATGAGGAAGGGCTGAGAGCTGGCATTGTACAGCCTGTAAGTGAGAAGACTCTGTGGAGACCTTATTGCAGCTTTTCAAAGGGACCTGTAAGAGAGATGGGAGAGACATTTTATCAGGACCTGTTGTGATAAGACAAGGGGTAATTGTTTTAAACTAAAATAGGGGAGATTCAGGTTGGGTATGAGGAAGAAATTCTTTACAGTGAGGGTGGTAACACCAGCACAAGTTGCCCAGAGAGGTGGTGGATGCAGCATCCCTGGAGACAAACAACGGCAGCCTGGATGTGATTCTGGGCAACCTGATCTAGTTAACGATATCCCGGCTTACTGCAGGGGGGTTGGACTGGATGGCCATTGAAGGTCCCTTCCAACCCAGACTACTCTATGATTCTATTCTATGTTTCTACAACTGCTCCTCTGACCACCTCTGCTTTCACAGAATCACAGAATCCCAAGGGTTGGAAGGGACCTCAAGAGATCATCTGGTCCAACCCCCCTGCAAGAGCAGGGTAACCTGGAGTACATCACACAGGAACTTGTCCAGGCGGGCCTTGAATATCTCCAATGTGGGAGACTCCACAACCCCCCCCCGGGCAACCTGTTCCAGTGCTCTGTCACTCTCACAGTAAAGAAGTTCTTCCTGATGTTAACGTGGAACCTTCTATGCTCCAGTTTACACCCATTGCCCCTTGTCCTATCACTGGATATCACTGAAAAAAGCCTAGCTCCATCATCCTGACACCCACCCGTTACATATTTGCAAACACTGATGAGGTCACCCCTCAGTCTCCTCCAAGCTGAAGAGACCCAACTCCTTCAGCCTCTCCTTATAAGGGAGGTGTTCCACTCCCTTAATCATCTTTGTGGCTCTGCGCTGGACTCTTTCAAGCAGTTCCCTGTCCTTGAACTGAGGGGCCCAGAACTGGATGCAATATTCCAGATGCAGCCTAACCAAGGCAGAATAGAGGGGGAGGAGAGGGTACAGTGGGTAACTGGATAGTCATGGGTTATGGGAGACAGAAGTCCTGCTTCACACATGATGTATAGCAAAGAGATATAGGGTGGAGAGAAAACACTAGGGAGTGGAGTAAATGTCTGGAGAAATGCACAAAGAGGCTGGAAATATGGAGTCATTCAGGTTGTACAAGGCCATGAGAGATTTACTTCTTAAAGTGTAATTTAAGGCATGTACTTGCTCTTGGGGACCCATAATGTTTAAGGGTATCACTGTCCAGTATCAATTTGATTATGAACATGAATATTCAAAAACAAACCCCACTGGTTTTGGTCCTTGCTAGGACTCTGAAGATCAGCAGAAGTTCATGCCTGAACTCTGATAAATTCCACAGACTAGATGTTCTGTTAGTTGTGCCCCAAAACACCTACAGCCCAGGGATGGATTAACAGTCTGACAATATCCTCTCAGAATGAAGGGTGGAAATACTTTGTCTGGCTGCTTCCTTACCTGAAGAATCCAGCATTCACCCAAGTCATCTCTGCTCAGCAGGGAGGTGGTAGTGTTCAGTTCCCAGCTGTGCTTCTTCTAGAGCCCAGACATTGCTCACCAAACTGTGGGCTTAGGAAAAGGTGCTCTCCTGTGGAAGTGGGCAGGCAGAAAAGGATGCACAAGAAAATGTTCAAATGACTGTGCAAAACCCAATGGAAAACAGCTTCAGTAGGTGGGAACAATCAAAACCACTCTTCCCCAGACGTACTGTTTCAGTATAACATCCAGAAAACAAAGAGATCAAAACATAACATAAACTAACAAATAGAAAAATATAGTGTTATACAGTGATGTTTCTTTCATCATTAGTGTACTCTTCTGTAAGCCTACATTTCTGATGCTGCATCCATCCTTTATATTGCTCCTAAGGGCAATAATTTTTACTACTAATGATTGCAACAGCAATAACACATGGCTAGCGATGCAACGATGCAATGCCAGGGTGGATTGGCACCCCACCTAGTACTGTAAGGTCCAGACTGTGACTGTTGTATCAGTACTAATACACTGTAACAACAGCTGAAATATGAAAAGTATGCTAGAGAAAATAATGCTGTTTTCCCTTTGTCTCAGTTTTAATAGGGCAATATTTGAAGTATCAAATCTATCGTGCTGTTTACAATTGTATAAAGAAACTATCTGCAAAGTAGTCCTGTACTACCATGTAGTGAATGCTACTTAGTGAATGCAACTGAATGCCTGTGAAGCTCACTGAAACTCAGGGATTAAGGAAAAAAAAGTTCTCTATGTGTGACTCCAGCATGGAGAAGAAATACACAGGTTAGCTCCAAACAAGCTGGTTGAGGTCTTAAGGACCAGCCAAGGCTTGAAAATGGAGCTCAGCAGGGGCTCCCCTATGTGGCACTCATCAGAAGACTCAGATCTGTGATACACAACTCACGTTCAGCCTGCAAGCTTTACAAGATTTACAAGCAAACTTGGACTGGAGCCCAGTTTTGAAAAAAGCTGTACTCAAATAACAGTTTTCCTTCAAAATTAAGTGAGGCTTGAAGCTGGGTTTTGAATTTTTGCCTTTTTTTGAATCTGAAACTTAGGAAACCTGAAGCACAGGGAAGAAAACAATACAGGAGTTACTCCGGGAGTCATGTGTTATTTACTAATTACTCGCACTTATGTTTCACCTAATTGTGTATGGCTTAAAAATGCATTTTAATGCCAGGTATTTAGTAAAGATGCAGAATGCTTAGAAATGTTGACCTCATGTACAAACCTGTATCAATATGAGTAATTATGCTCAAATGAGCTCCCACTAGCTTTAAGTGTTTGATTGACTTAAAACATGATAGTAACAGAATTCAGTTTCTTGATATTTCTTCATTCCCCCTAAACCAGGGAAAAAAAAACAAACTACCCAACCCCACAAATGTAGTTTCTTCATGAAATTTTAAAAAGGCATTAAAATCTCCTAAGCGATGTCAATTCCTTTGCATTTGATGATCATACTCTTTCCCTATGGAGTCATATTGCAGACAGTGTGTTAAATACATGGTGTGTACTTCACAGTAATGTTGCACTGCAGATAATCTTATAATTTATCTGTGTTAAGGTTCCTAAAGATCTATTACAGCTGACAAGTCTTTTTTAAGCACCTTATAATATAGACTCGAATGACAAACCACGAAGGTAAATCTTTCTTCATTCTTACTTCACCTCATTCTAAACTTACTGCCTGTCCTATCTGACCGAGACCTTTCTGTGAAGGAGCACAGGAATGGCAGTGACTGGTATAATGAGAGGGGCTTTACAAAAAGTTTGCTTTGCAACTACTTGGTGGGCTCGGCAAAGTTAGGCTTACGATTGGACTAGGTGATCTTAAAGGTCTTTTCAAACCTAAATGATTCTATTCTATTCCATTCCATTCCATTTTGCGATTCTACTGAAATTACTGGTAATCTTTCAATTGACCATGGTGGTCCATACATCAGAAATAAAAATTCCTGTTGCAGAAATATATTTTGCATCAAAGGCTTCTTTTCATTTCAGTACATCAGTAACAAGTATTAATTAATGATCAAGCTTTTCTCTTTAATTTCAGTTTA